AGGTCCATTGAGGCAGAAGCCGTTGCTTCACAAGCTGCTCTCGCCTGCATTTGTTGCCGTGTGTGAGATAGTAGGTTTCTTTTCACACAGTATGAGAATCAACGAGCTAGAATATCTAATATAAATCTCTTTCAACACTCTAAACTCGTCTTCTGACGCGAAGTAAAGAACCGAACTGACCATTTTGACAAATGAGGTCAAAACACGACGTGCTTTTAGGGTCTTAGAATTGTAGATGTGGGGAGACCATGTGCTTGCATGGAAATTGGGGTGTTTGGAACACAAATGCCGTATTTTATGTCCCATATAGACCTTCGACTATGCTTCATAAGAAAGTGATTGTGAGGTCTTTTTTTCAACGTGCCTTAGACTACTTTCATTTTTTCTTACGATTGAAAGTCTAGTATATTTCGTTAAACAGCCTATAGGAACGTCGTATTGCCGACTGAAATAAGTGTATGCATTTGGCTACAATCTGAACTAGATTTTAACAACTTTATCTTATATTTCGCATCTGTTACATGTATGCATTCTACACGTTTGTTCAGAGATTGGTGTAGAGGTACTTGTTCTTATTCACTCAATCATCGAAGCCGAGCATATAATTACTGGAAATATTTACATTCAACGTGTAACACTTGGTGCAAGTCAGAGATGGTGGACGTGGGGACTAATAATTAAAGTGATATGACTCGATCACGCAGATGCTGTCGCCCATAACCTCTTGCGTTCTTTACCAAATATATTACTCACTTTCAATCTCAAATTTGTTCTTCAGAAGTGCTAGACGTCATGTTACTAATCGTAAACATAGAAAGAGTCATCGTTGGGCATCGTGTGTCCTCGACTTAAGATCTTATACACAAGTTTTCACGCAATGACAAATCTACAGATTTAAGATTATGTCTACTATTATGGAACTACCAAAGCTGAAGTAGACCATCTTCCTACATTGGTGCGACCGACTAAAGAAACGCATCCACTTATTGATTCTCCTATTCAATTTATCTTCATCAGTTAATTTTGGCCAGTCTAAACTATACTGCAGAGCCAATCAGAAGCTTCCGCGGGTTTTCAACGTCACGGCGCTAAGTTCGGTACCTGATGCTTAAGTACCATCGGTTTACAGCGGATTTTAGGGAAGACGTGATAATTCAGGGTCTACAACAGAAGTGATCATAAGATTGCGGCAAAATTCAATTATCCATTTGGATAAATAGAGTTTTGGCATTATAGCTGATGTCAGTTCGTGATGAAAACCCTAAAATATGCGGACGACCTCACTGTATGTATGCCAATTTCTACCTCCTTACATCCTATAGAAATGAATGAGTTTTTATCTCGTATTGAAAGGTGGTCTGTTGGTAATGGTCTCTTACTCAATCCATCTAAATGTCAAGCTGTTAATTTTAGCTTGAGACATGGACAGAACCTATACTCTATGTTGGGATCCCATAATGCTTGTGCCATTGGAGACTCCTTAATAAACACAGTGTCGAGGGTCAAATATCTTGGTGTTACTTTTTCCTCTGATCTTTCTTGGTCTTCTCATGTTTTACTGTTATCGAAAAAAGTTTACCGCTTGACATACTACATAAAGAGGCTGCATGCTTTTGGGATTACTCGCCATTTACTCTTACAATTTGTAAATTCCTGCATATTACCTATTATTTTATATTGTTCTCCATTATTCTTTCCTGGGCTTTTGAGAAAAGACTTTGCTATTTTGCGTAGAATGCTGAAGGCGGTTTGCAAGGTATGTGGTGAATCTTTTGAAGTCATTGTTAATATGCTTGTGGATAGACATCTTAAGTGTTGCAAACTCTTGGCAGGTGTTATCTTATCAGATACTAACCATCCGCTTCATTCATATCTTTCTCCTTGTATATCTTCTGGTAGAACGAGACGTAAATACATTAAAATCCATGCACGCAAGCAAATCTATAAAAGTTCTGTAATACCTTACTTAGCAAATTTACTTTGTGACGAACAGGCTGTTAGAGTTGACCTAGTAAATAACCTGTCTTCTTAAGCATGTCTCAAATTCGATAATTTGTATAAAGTCGGTTTTTCCTAGACCTTTTTTTTTAAATTTTATTTCTGTTTTTTTGTTGTTGTTTGTTTGTTTGTTTTTTCGAGTTTCCTTTTTTGGTAAAAAACTTGTTGAAATAACTCGTGCTGAGAATTCTATATTGTACCAGATTATAATATTGAATAAAGCCATTAATAATAATAATAAGCCTAATTTCTTATTTTAACCATGAACTGTAAACCATAATTTGAATTCTTCACACAGGTTTATAACCTTCATTTGGTCTCAGTTATTATGTTGACACTCTCAGGGTCACTCTAGTGTCGCTCAAAGGTCGTCCATAATATATAGTCTCACCCTTAACCCTAAACCCTAATCCTAAAACTTAACTCTAACCTTAAACCCCAAACCATACCAATATACCAACAACATTGAAGCTATGCGGTCGAAGCTGAAAAAATTTTTGAGACCTTCTCATGGTTTCAGAGGTCGACTTCTATGGAGCCATATGGATGTGTTCCTGTGCCGAATGCACTATGATTTTAGAACTTCTGAACCTATATCTGACCTTGAGAAGTTTTTAAGTCATGTAAAAGAACAGTGTCTCCTTTAATTTTTGAGCTTTGTATAATATATTTTTGCTGTATACTATCTGTCTTCTGATTGACTAATATTTCTCAAGGTCATTTAGGATTCGTTCAAAGGTCGGCAGTATAGTTTAGCTTCGCCTTAATTTTTACTCATGTTAAACGAATTTTTTGTTATTCTGTTGAATATTACCCACGTGCATTATCGTATTACAATATTGATTAGCACTCAAAGTTTATTATCTCTGTCGATTGCAATCACTGATCACCTATATTTGTGATTAGTTACGATTTCTCATTAACCTGCTTTAGCAGCATTTACATGCTTCAGTAAAATGGACTTATTGAAACCTCGAAAACAACGTACTTTCTCATGGAATTTTATCGTCATTTAGGGCAATCAGGTATACTTTATTTAACGAATGATTTGGGAAATATATGCTATGAAATATGCATAGCTAGTCCAAATGCAAATACATACATATTAAGAAGTATCAAAAACATTGTAGATTATTTATCGAAATAGCTAAACTCGCCTGGATTATTTCCGAAATTAAGATTTGATGTAAAAAAACCCAGTTATGGCAAATAGCATAGACCCAAAAGAAACCAGATCAAATACATAGTATTACAACCTCTTCCTAGATGTACATAATGCTGTTGACTTTGTTACTCGGTTGATTCAGCGAAATTCCAAGAATCCAAATAAATACATGGCCCCCACCAAAAAACAGTCTGAAACGAGTTTGGGATTGCAGAAACTGTATAGCTTAAACTCGTAGTAAGTTTTTGGAATACTATCTTCGTTGTTTAGTAGTGGAACTCAAAAATTGGAAATTAGTTAGGCTGTGATCGGGCGAAGACTTTGGCTAACATGTTAACTGGCTTAGTAACATATATGCGTAATATTATTCTCTGCAATGGCCACAGGGACCCATTTTATGTACAAAACCACAAGACTACGCGATATACTGATAAAAGGATTTTGTGTTTTTCTTATATAACTTATCTTCGTTCAGCTCATAGCATAATGAAGTCGACTAGAAATTTTAAATAATTTGTATTTGCTAACAAAATTTCCGGAATAAATCGTGGAGATCCCAAATTAGGTTCCAGGTTGTAAGAATCATGGGTTTCATAATCCTTTCAAATAATTTGCTGGTATTGACAACAGCAACCAAATAAGTTTCAAAACAAGTCCAAACACGTCAAAGATTAGAACATTCACAACATAATTTCCGGCCATATTTTTTGATGGCTTCATTTGCAACATTCGTGAACGAAAATTTCCAAATCGCGGTGATATTGGTTTTAGATCAAACAACTCACTCTATATTTCGATATCTGCGAAAAATCGGTGAAAACAAGCGATTAGCATTTTATCACACATAGCATGTAACTCTTACGGATGGTGTAGATCACCAACGTAGGTTATATGCATAGAATGATTGGGACCATAATCCAGTGGGGAAAATTTGATTTATGAACGACTTAATCAAATTTACGATAACAGGTCTTGAATTTGGGCGCGAAATCAATTTATTCATTGGGCTTAATAGCGTCTTGGCATTATGGCAGATGTCAGTTTGTGGCGAAAACTCTAAATTTAATTCCTTGCCTTAACCACCAACTGCAAATCATAATCCTAATTCCTCACACTGGTTTATGACACTCATTTTGGCGTAGTATGTCGGTGGACAGTTCCAAGGTCTTTTTAGCGTCACTCAAAGGTCGTCCACTGACCATAGTCTAACCCCCTTCATCCTGTCCAGGTTCTAAGAATACTTTGTTGAGTACATAACACAAAAGTTGCTGTCACAGAGATATATTAGTAAGCGTAGGTACAAAAAAGAATATTATCACCACCGTATGGGCCAGTCCATAGATTGCAATTAACTGACGTACGTTAGTTATCCTCAACGCTGGTAAGTATCAGTGAGCTGCTGGATATCTAATGATCCAACTGTCAGATGATTAAGCTTGGGTCCTACAGGGACATAGAATAATCTGAGAACGGAAGCAAAAGTCAAAAGAAAAAGTGTATCGAACGAAAAACTCATGGTTAGAATTAAGAACTTCATATGAGCTACGATGTTTCTAAATACCGAAACAACGAACATTTCTATGGCACTAAAAAGCCAAGGAGATAAAACAAAGAAATACACCGTTCACCTTGGTTTAAAAAGAAAACAGAAATGATAACTTTTGATCAATTACGATTATTTCGAAGGCATAAATTGAAATTGAGAACCAGATTTGTGCAATGGGGGCATAAATTTAAGGGAAAAAGTGTTCACTAATTTCGTGAAGTGAGGTTTTAAGTTTGAGCAAAAGTGTCGATTGAGCTGTTGGCGCTACGTTTCTCTCTGAACGCCACCGTAATGTCTTATAGGTCTCAGCTTGCTGAAGCGGATTTAGGGAATCTGCTTATTGAAGATAAGTGTCCCTTGAACCAGTTTAATGCAGGTATGCCGCATAAAATTAAGTCAAACCACCAACATAGCAGTTTCGTCCTTGGATGATGATCATTATCGAACCATTTCTCTCAATTGTACTTATCATTTCTTCAAGCTATTTTTCGAAGTAATTTTATTCTGCTCTCACGGTTTATTTTAGCTACCAACGGAATTAAATGATTCTGTATCTGTTTCCATCGTGAGTGATTGTTTTAAAGTTTTAACGTTGTCTTATCAACAAGTTTGGAAATATTATTCCACTAATAGTTACTGTTATTAGTTTTTAGTTACTGGGTTTTTCTGTCTTCATGAAAAACCATGCTGGGCGTTTGTTTTCAACAAGTGACTAGCAAAACTGGTTTACTTTTTGCCGTGCAACCTAGACCCAGATTCTAATTTGTGTGTTGAGGTCAGGAAGCCATTAGTCTTAGCAATCTTTTCCTAGTGAGCCCCCGTGAGTTCTTTTTTTGCTAGTGTTTACATCAGGGGTGAAAGCACTACTTCATGTGTCAAATCCAAGAGTCTATGACACTGTATTTTGCTTGTTCTTGGCTTTTGAACTCACATAATAAGTCTCCCGAGTTTTCTTTTTCTGATAGGATAGAAAGGGTGTTTTAGCGCCACATTCGTTCATTAGTATTGGCGAGACTATAGTTTATAGACGAATCAACCAGATTTACGATAACAGGTATTTAATTTGGGCGCGAAATTAATTTATTCATTTGGCTAAATAGAGTTTTGGCATCTAAGCTAATGTCTATTTGTGTTGAAAATCTGATATCCAGTTCCAAACCCTTAATATCAATCGTAAATATTAATTGCAGTTCCTCAGATTGGTTTATAACCCTCATTTGGCCGTAGTAAGCGGATATTTTCAAGGTCTTTTCAGCGTCGCTCGAAGGTTGTCCATACATTATAGTGTCACCCTGGTATTCTGTACACTCAAGCCAGATCATCTCAATCTGCATCAAGATGAAGTAAAAATTTCAACTTTTCAAGCTACCTTGCGTATGATAAGCCGCGAAATTTAGAAGTTGCATGGGTGGCCGTTCTCCGTGCTTTCATGAAATATCCGAGTCTTAAAGCCGTTTTCAAGTTTAGATCTCATTATGGCTGTGTATACTATGGTGAAAATATGTGTATACAACTTGACGGATGTCCGTCTTAACGCCTATAGGGATTCAAACCCCTTAGCTGCAACCGCATGCTGGTGTACTATGATCTTAAGGTCGTAGTTCACTTTTACCTCTAGATCATTGTGAGACAGAACTAAGGGCATTGACGCTTCCCCGATAGTGAGGTTATTAACTTTATATCTATGTGCATGTTGACACACTCAAGGTCGTTGATAAGCACCAATAACAATCTAGATCAGGTAACCTGAGTGTATAGGTTGACCTGGAATGCACACATTTACATCCTTCGTTTCTTCTCGCCACGATAATCCTTTCCTGAAACCATACTGTTCATTGTCTAACAAGTTGGTTTCCAAAAGGTCATAAAGGTCTTTCTGTTTATTTTTTCTAGTAATAACAGGTCTTCAATCTGATGAAAGTTGTCTTAGTCCTGTTTCGTGAACTGGGTTGACAGCTTCACCCTCCCACTCCGTAAGTAATTGTTATATCTTGTGGACGAGTGGACGACTAGTTGATGTGTGACGCGATAAGACTGCCTAACAGGGGGCAGCGAATTGTCGATTGGAACAGTGACACGAAACCCGTACGAGCAAACTAGAGTGCTAACCGGTCCCGCGATCTGCCTAGCCCAGCCAGTTAAGTCCAAAACAGTAACTCCCTCTGACTGCGTGATAACCTGAATATCGTTGTGAGTGGAGCAGGTATATATGGTGCAATTCTAAGCCGTAGCTCATCTTATTCTGTTGGTTTTTTCTTGTCCAAAGGGCTTAATACCTTTGATCCATTGTGTTGATTGAAGTCCACAGTTGTTTGCTGACTTAACGACAATTATTCGTGGCCTACTTTTTTGTCGAGAGGCTCTTGGTAATAGACTGTCCTGAAGTAATCTCCCATAGCTTATGCTTAGTCGTAGTCCTCCTGTATCATTTTAATTACACTCCTTTCCATGATTAAAGTGGGGATCTATGGATGTTGTCATTCAGTAATTGATATATGAGAACAGTTGCTTCGGCTTCTTGATTGGAGTTTGTGCCAATTGATTTTCATACTTCAGCTGAACTGCATGGATTGTGTTCATGCACTTATTTCAGATCAACTTGAAATGTTTCACTTTATTTGCTGCACCAAAACTGATTGCGACATCTCAGTGTCTTCTGGGTTAGTAAACGTCACATCTAATTTATTCAAGGATAGACCTTTTTTGAGGTTGCCCAGAGTGTAAATGGTTGAGTTACTTCGTTGTATAGCTCCCGGAACTGGCTTCACTCCTCTTCTACTGATAAATCGGAGTCGATTTTCGAGGCTTCAGAGTTGATGACCCTCCATATGTTGCGACGAACTTCGGCCCCTGTGGTGAACGTCTTCCAAGAAAAAGTTTTTTAAATTCAATGCTTTAAGAGCTTCATTCCTCTTCAAAGTTTATATATGAACCATACTTTCAATGTTTTTTGCAGCTCCCAAAACCTACTTTTCGTCTCCCCAGAGAGAAAAAGGTAGGTGCTTCCTTTGTCATACCATATGCCATGTAGATCCCCTCAGCCAAAGAACTTACTAGATGGGACAGATTTGCACGCTTAAAAGGAATCCAGAATCGCAAGAAGTCCCGCAAAGTTTGGGATCCTGTGTCTGAATCATGGAAACCAAGATGGGGTAAAGACCGGATCGATGATGTCAAAGACAAATGGGTACTGGAAGTTCCGGATAACGCAGGTAAATATACGTTATCGGTTTAAAAATTGCCTTGCCAGATCCCTATGAAGACCAATTCGCCAAATTAATACAAGCTAAAAAGGAACGTAGAGCCAAAAACGAGCTCCAGCGTCTCCGTAATATTGCCCGAACTGTCAAAGCAGGACAAGGTAAGTCACTGACTGTTTTTTTAGCGAAATTGTTTAAACAAGTTCGTTTGCTAGCAAACTATTCGCATGATTATCGGTTTTCATCAGATTGAGTAGTGTTTATACTCAATAATATCAGTCAGTCAGTCAGTCACAACGTAGAACTTCGTACGTACGTACATCAGTTCGAGTTGCCATACCACATTAGCACAGAGATGCAGTTGTCGATTCAAATACCATAGTGGTAGAAGTAGTAGGAGTATAATCAGTAATCCAAAAGATTAGGGTTTGAAGAAATTATTGAAGGAGTATAGTACAGTGAAATAAATTTGGAAAGAGAAAAAGATAAAGACATGAGGAATTCAGAAGATTAGAATTTGGTAGAACACAAAGAGTGGATGCACCTTCGCCATTGCAAACGATTTTGAGCCATGTCATTCAAGGTCTCTAACCATCGGTTGCTATCATCTCGCGAATCCCAACCAGGTAGTCTACACCTACCAACATGGCTCAGTCCACTTGTCAGTGACTTCATTGATTTGTGCCACGTTTTGGTCTGGCCACCCCTAGCTTTCTTCCAACCTACTCTTACACCATGAAACATTACACGTCGGGGCAGTCGGTGGTCGGGCATACGTAACACATGTCCCAGCCATCTCAACTGATGAAGTTTCACTACTTCATCAGTCGATTTGCCATCCTTACCTAGTACCCGTCTACTAACATCTGCATTACTTACCCGGTGGTCCCAGGATATACGAGCAATGCTTCGAAGACACCTATGATCGAAGACTAGTAGCCTACGAATATTCTCTACTCTTATTGGCCATGTTTCACTGCCATAAAGTAGGACGGAGCGAACTGCTGCACAGTAAACCCGTCTTTTGGTTGCTAGACGGATATCTCACCTACGCCATAATTGACGCAAGTTGGCGAAAGCTAGACGAGCCTTCTGTATCCGTGCTGAGATTTCGTCACATACCAGACCACAAGGGCTGATGATACTCCCAAAATAAGTGAAGTGGTCTACACGCTCAACTACTTCACTCCCTATCATTAGTTCAGGTGTCGCTGCAACCCAATCCTGAAGTAACATTTTGCACTTCGAGGGAGAGGATCGCATCCCAAACATGCCTGCATAGTTGGTTATAGTGGTCAGAAGACTGCATGTTTTCAGCGTCTTCACCGAGTAAAACTATGTCGTCGGCGTATTCTAAGTCAACGAGTGAGCCTCCCGGTAAAAGTTCAACTCCTGGAGGTTTAGCTGATGAAAGTGTTATCTCTCAAAGTATGTCAATGACAAAGTTAAACAAGAATGGGGAGAGTGGACAGCCCTGACGAACGCCACTTGTGGCAATCAGTTCTGATGACAGTTCGCCACAGGCTCTAACTCGACCAGTTGTGTTCGCGTAGAGAGCCTTTATGAGGTTAATGTACTTCTTTGGTACTCCTTTCAGTGACAAACACTGCCATAGAACCTCACGATCAACGGAGTCAAATGCCGCCTTAAGGTCAAGAAATACTACTATTTTGGGACGTCTGAATGTATGTCTATGTTCTAGGACCTGACGTAGGGTGAATATCTGGTCTATGCAACCACGTCCTGGTTAGCGTTTTTTTAGCGAGTTGATTTTCTACGGGATGGGGTCGTTAACCCCATGCCCAACCCTCCTCCTTTACCCGGGCTTGGGACCGGCAGTAACCCCCAGAGGAGCTACAGGCGGAGCTGTCTACGCAAAATACTTCGGATCTGATAGCCAGACACTATCAGCAATAAGCTACTGTGGGAGAGAACAAACCAGATTCTAGCAGAGGAAGAAATCAGGAAGAAGCGCTGGAAGTGGATTGGGCACACCTTGAGGAAATCAGCTAATTGCGTCACAGGACAAGCCCTCACATGGAATCCTGAAGGTCAACGGAGAAGAGGAAGACCAAGGAACACATTACGCCGAGAAATAGAGACAGACATGAGAAGAATGAACAAGAACTGGATAGAACTAGAAAAGGAAGCCCAGGACAGAGTGGGTTGGAGAAAGCTGGTCGGCGGCCTATGCTCCATTGGGAGTAACAGGCGTAAGTAAGTAAGTATGCAACCACGTCCAAGTCGAAAACCAGCCTGTGTTTCTCTAGTTTGCTCTTCACGAGCTTTGGTTAGGCGACCTAGTATTATTGAAGCTAATATTTTAGACACTATATTAGTCAAACTGATCCCTCTGTGATTGTCACAGGAGGACTTTTGTCCTTTCTTATAGACTGGCACAATCAGTGATTGGGACCAGTCAGATGGAATTACGTCCAGTTTCCAGATTCTACCTAAGACCTCAGTCAATCTCACTGCTAGTACTGGACCACCATCCTTAAAAATCTCAGGGGTCAACCTGTCAGGGCCTGCTGCTCTCCCTCGCTTCAGATTTCCTATAGCTTCTTCAACCTCACAGAGGGTTGGAGGACTTACATCAATTTGCCATTCAGTACGACTGGGGATCGTGGGTAATTGAAGTGTGGCTGAAGGCCAGTTGAACTGATCCCTAAAGTGTTCTGCCCATCAATCCAATCTCCTGGATTGAGAATGAATAATATGCCCATCTTTATCTGAGATGGTTTCACTGATATTCGGGTTCCTAATACCGGTTTCTTTAAGGAGTCTGAATAGCTGCCTACTGTTACCTATTGCCGCTGCCTTTTCCATCTCTCTTGCTTTCGCTACTCACCACTGTTCACGATCATTACGTAGGCTTCTTATAAACCTGCGCTTAAGTTGACTCCGCTCTTCGTTATGTTCAGAGCCAGGTGGGATGAGTTTACGAGCATCTATCAGTGCGGTAGATGCTGCCGAGATCCATTGTTTCTCCCTAACGGTTGCCCACACCGTGGAAGGGTATTTGTTGAGGGACCTGAAAAAGAAGTTGGATTAGTGTTGGTCTTAACGACCTGTGAGCGTGACCGCAGTGCCCCCCCCTTTTTGTGGGGGACATTTGACGTGTTAGCTCCTTACTTGTTGGGACCTTACTGTCGGAGACGGATATCCGTGGGATAAGGCGAGGTGTGCATTTTTAGGGTCGACCTTTTCTAACCCCACCCCTCCTTGTAGGAAGGCAGCATCGCTGTCATGCTGGTTGTCTGAAGGAAACACCTTACTGCTTTCACACCTCTGTACAGTCAGCAGTACGACTTCGCCTTCGGACCTTGGGATAGCTGCTTTTAGTCTCACCGCTCTTCAACCGACCTGTCTGGCATGGTAGGACCATGAGGAACGATTGTTCCAGCCAGCATAGCTCGATTGGTTCATCACGATAGGCAAGCCCGACCACCACCTTGGCTTGAAAATATTTCTGAAATCCTGTCTTTCTTCATGATTCCCTACATTAAAAACGCATGGTAAGATGTGAGTCCAAAGGTATACTATTAATTTACCTCGGGAGGTACCATCTTTTTACTTGCAGTTATTTCTGACGAACCTATCTTAACTAACTTCAAACGTAAACAACTCAAAATATTATACAAATATGTATTAATTCAAGCCATCATACCATTCAACACTAGCTGGAAATCAACAAAACAATGTCTTAAAAAATCAAAAGTAATAGTAATGGTAGTATAAAACCAAGTAGACGTTTTATTGAAGGGAACAAAATCATAATAAAACATGCTGAATCTTGCTAAAATTTAAGGAAAGGTAAAGGCCGAGTATATCTGTTCCCACGATGAGTGTTTTTTAAAGTACTTGTGTATATTATTGTTTATTTTATTTGAACACATAAATATTGGTACAAACGGGCACCAAATATGCCGGTGACCAACGATATATATATAACATTAATCTTATTTTACCAGCTCCTCCTATTGGCGTATTAACGGAATCACAGTCATCTAAAACTGAACTGTCTCGTGCTTTTGCAATCGCTCAAAACTCTGATGCATCAATGGGTCGTTTTTGTGCTCCAGTGGATAGCCGAAAAATTTCTAAGAATGTTGAGTAAGTTTATTTTGTATTCTGCCTAACATCTGTTTTATTATAGAAAACGATCTAAGAAAAGAATTCCATTGAGTCAAGTTGTTCAAAGTACCAAAAAGAGTAAACAGAATAAGTTGATGTCTAAAAAAACGAAAAAGAATAAGATGAGTTCACGCCCTTCTAAAAAGAAATAGTTTTTTTTGTCAAAAAGCTTCTTTGTATATATATAACTATTTAAAAATACACTTCTGAGTCTCTATTCTCATTGTTGTTTACGTAGACTTAATAAGGATGTTGAAACTTGTGAAATGAATTTGAAAAATGGCTTAAAATATCAGTTTGATTTAGGAATAATTCTCAAATATAGTTTACCTAATAATAATGCTTTCAGAATTAAAACGAGTTCTATCTGGGTAATAAAGTTAATCTCGTGATCTGTACCGCTATTTGTTTCAAAAATATTTCAGGAAACCTGTTAGTAAATTAGCATGGATTTTTCAATGTGCAAACAATCTCAGGTGTCATGTTAGATCATTTACTGGGTTTTGGATTTAATAACTTCCAACATTTTCTTTTCACATATAGTTTTATCAAGTTTATTGGACTTGATCTTAATTCTCAAGCCATGCCAGTACTTTCAGCTTTTAATAATTGTTGGTATTGTGTATACAGCGCCAGAGAGAAACATGTAATCATTGATTGAAAACGCTCGTTACGTAATCGTCTAGCGTCTTTTAAATATTTTTTGTAGTCTGGAATGTGGCTTTTAAATCATGCATTTATCCAGCCCAAATGTCAGTAAATTAGTGAATCAAGGTTAATAAAAGAAATGCAAAACAATCAAATAGATCTTGTCTTTTTTATAACAAGTTCAGTTTTCTCTTTATATTATCTTAATTTACCGAACAGAATCATGCTGTTTGTTCACATTTTCAATACATCATGTCTTCTTTAATATTTCAGGTGTTAAAATTCAGAAATTATTCAAAACAATGGTCTTTCCCCATTTAAAGTTACCTGAGCTATGGAACATCGAAATATCTTACATTGTATTGATAAGTCGAATAAGCATTAAGCTTAATACTCAGATTTTAATTTGATTAAGACTTAGATGACTTATGAAATCTTTCAATTGACTTCTGATCATGTTTACTTTCGCGTTTTAGTCAGGCAGTCATGTGCAACGTAGAGCCTGGCGAATATGTACACCGGTTCAAGTTGTCATACCATATTACCACAGCGAGACAAAATTATCAAGAAAAATCCTAGTCGTAGTTGTATTGGGAAAGATTAGGTAAAGCAAAGGAAAAATGGTGTTGGGAGATTTCGGGGCTCAGGTTCTAAGAGGAGATAAAGGCTGAACTCACCTGAGTCATGTCACTCAAAGTCCACGACCATTGTTTACAGTAATCACACGGACTCCTAAGAAGTTTACATATATTAAGATGGCTCATCACAACTATAAGTAACTTCATGGACTAATGTCACATCTTGGTTGGCCTCCCTAGCTTTATTCCAACCTATTTCCCACACCAGACAACATCATGTATCGAGCTAAAAAGTGGCTGGATGTACGTAACATTTGTCCCAACCATCTCAATCGATGAAGACTCACTACGTCATCAGCCGTTCATTCCTAGATCCCATGTCTAACTTCGGAATTGCCTACTGTGGTCCTAAAATACACGAGTGGTAATTCAGTAACACCTATGATCGGGTACTAGTGGCTTGTAAATATCCACTATTCTAAATATAAGCGTATAACTTCACCGTGTGTCACCTATCGGTCTATATTCTATCCATTGATTATAAATAATAGAATAGCCTTCCATAACAGTTATGCTTTCACATAATTATCAGACGGGGGTTTTGTGGAGATTTTAGTAATTTTATATAGTTGAAATCACGAGTCAATTGAGGCTAGATTGTTGAACTGTGAATTCATGGTATTAACACATAAAGTTCTGTAAGGGTGGTCATAAGTTTGGACGTACCTTTGTTCACAATTACTTGGTCCATCAGATTCCACCAATAGCTCGCACAAACTGCCTGTTTTACAGCTTAGTCGAGAAACTTTATATGGTTCCTGAATTAATTCATCGAGTTCAATTATTGATTGAGCATGGTGTACATCATATGTAATTTAGCTCCGTCTATATATAAATTCACTTCTTTGGAGTAACAAAAAGATATTAATGATCATTGAGAATAAATGTTATGTAATTTTAAACATTACAGAGTTATTCTCAATGCCAAACAAACTGTAACATCTACAATGCCTTGAAAGTAAGTTTGCCTCAGATTATGAAGCTAATTCTGTCTGCTCTTCAGAATCTCAGATGACGTTTAAAATTATATTTTAGGAGCCTCTAAAAATTACAGGTGAAAATATTTGACTTGTTTTTCAGAAACGGATCTATTGTATTTAATTGACAAGAAAATGAATAGGACACCACTTTATGCTCGAAATCTTTAAAAATTCCTTAAATTTTTATTCATAACTCACGGATAAGTGAGCGTTTAAGATTTCATGTACATACTGAACAAATAACTTATGTAACCTTCAGATCGATATATATTGCTCTTTCTGGTGTTAGTTGATGAGTTGTCTTATTTACATCCTTCTCTTTATCTAACACAACAAAGACCATTAATGTGGGTTTTCGATCCTAAAAAACTCATTCTTTAGGACTGATGATGGATTTATACATGTGCCCAACATATGACTACTGAATTAAATTTTAGTAGTCAGATAACTCACCATGAGCTCTGCCTGACTGGATTAGAATGTCCACCTTACATTTTGTACGGTCGATTCTCTTTAGGATTTAAAGTTCATTCTAGTGGTCTTCATTGTGTTAGACAAAGAGACGAAAGAGTATACATAAGATAAATCATCAACTCGTACTGAAGGCAAACAGTATGCTTCGATCTGAACAGTGATTTACTCTAGGATTATAACTATCTATAACCCAGACTAATATAGACCTGAAAATCTAGTTTGCAACCCATAGGGCTTTCTTTGTCAATTCCGCCAAAACATCGAATTAGCAATAAGTATTAGTACCGAACTACAAGATAAGTTTCCTGTAGTAAATAATTCGGTTCATCTACTGACTAGTTTTATATTAGGATGAGTTTTCAAAGATTTTTCAGTTCAAATTTAGTTTTGTCATGAACAAACACCACTTTGAGATTCATTGAGATCCACCAGACAACTAATTTGTCTCAGATAACGATTCATTATCATCTTTGGCATCTACGCATGGTAACAAATCCACGACATTCAGATCTCACAGAGCACAATATCTTTGGACCTTTGAACTAGAATACAACGAACCACTATTCCAACTTCAATCATTTTGCGAAATCGACATTTATCATGTTTTTTTACTGACGTTATTTTATGATAAAAATTTTATTTGCCTTGACAAATACTTTTTAGAAGTAGTTTTTTACATTCTGATACTCAGAACTAGTGATTGTTAACACTAAATGTTTTTAAAGATAGTTTGTTATAACCTCTCAGAAATCATGCTGTGAACTAGAAGTTGTTATATTAATTTTCACTTGATTACTAATAGATTTAGTATTTATCATAGTTGAAAGCGTTAGTCAATTGAAGCTAGACCACCATGGAAAACCTGGAAAAACTGGACGGCCGTTTCGTCCTATTATGGGACTCCTCAGCAGTGCGCATCCACGAACCCACTCTCGCGAGATTCGAACCCAGGACCTACCAGTCTCGAGCCTAAGCCCTTAACCGATAGACCACTGAGCTGGCATCCAACGGTGTTAATGTCTAACTTCAACTGATCCACGAAGTTGAGCAACCATTCACTAATTGTCTTCAGTGAGTTCCTATTCTCACAACGGACGTGTTTTGAACTCCACTGGTCACTGCTTCTCACTAGAGCTCCTAGATATACTTCTCGAAGTCACTAGTGAGCATATGATTATATTAATTATTGAAGGGGTTTGGTGGAGATTTAGTATTTATCATAGTTGAAAGCGTGAGTCAATTGAAGCTAGACCACCATGGAAAACCTGGAAAACTGGTTTTCATGGTGGTCTAGCTTCAATTGACTCACGCTTTCAACTATGTGTTAGGATATTCACAGGAATATCCCAAAAATTATCTCGAATGTAAAGTGGCATGTTTTCAGTCTCTTCACATATTTTACATGTTAATTCCTATTAGTCATTAATTACAGTTGTCCTAACTATGACTTTCACGTGTCGTTTTCCTATTGATCAATTTTGAGTTGTCCTAATTATAACCTTTACGTGTCCTTCCTTTCCATTGGTTACTGTTAATAGTCATCTTAACTGTATAAATATGTCTTGTCTGTAAACCATTTTTGTTCTGCTGCTGACCCCATAAACAATTCTCATTTGACGGCTGTGTTCTGATTTATTGGAGTTGGGGAACAGTATTGGGGTCGAACTAGGATATCTGAATTTGGTCAATCGGTAGAATTTCGTGTAGACCTATCGCAATACGTCATATTTGGGCGAATTTATATTACTATGATAAATACTAAATCTCCACAAAACCCCTTCTATACTAATAGATTACATATTATTGGTTGTTTCGGGCTAAATATTTAATGAAAGCTTTTCAAGTGATAAAAACAATCTGAATTAACGATGATAGGATTGACTATGCTCAAATAAGTTCCTGATAAATAGTTACAAAAATACTGGTTCCCGCCCTCATTTTATCCTAAATTAGGTAAATATGTGGATGGAAACTCGGGACAGTGTATTTAGTGATGAAGCATTATAGAAATTTGTTCTGATAATATGCACTGTTAATGGTCTCACTGAAATGTGGTAAGGTAGGTGGATATACTACAAGCATATTAGTATTGTAGAACCTGTTCAAGACCGCAACCTAGATTATCGTGTCACAGTGATAGCGGTTAGTATTATTCTACACATATTTTTTCTTACACAGTAACATTCAAGTTTTAAGTACTCAACAAAAGCATACACTATTTGGTGTTTTTATTTTTTTAAAATGTATTTATGAAATAAAAACTATTTCGATAATGTAATGAGAAGACGAAGATTATCAGAACTATGTTCTGATTCGTGATAAAGTATTAACCTCAGTTATTTTATGCAAAACCTCTATGTTGAAACCGTCCACATGAAATATATCAAGAGACCTCTAAAAATAGACATAATACTCGTGGCATTTATGTTTGAATCTTTATTCACTGCTGTTGCGGAATAGATTACTCAAAAACTCCAGATAAATCAGGCAGATATTTTCTAGAATTGCCAATTTGAAATTTATTTGAGTAAACTTACCATACGAGCTCCTAAAACTTGTAGTCTGACTGATTCTTAAGGACATCCCTAGATTCCTCATAAATACACATACTTCACAATGTTATTGTTGGTCGGATTACGGATGTCAAATCAGAGGTTACCTAATATTCCCAAGTGTTGAAGAATGGATTAGAGTTTTCATAGAACAGTGGGTAATAATTTTATGTTTATACTCCGTTATTGCACTCAGTTTACGAATCGATCAATGGAGCTAATACGTAGTAATCTGTAAGCGACGGTTAGTATGACACCGTATTTAAATGAAAATTAATTGTTCACAATCGTGTTGAGGCTACTTATCGCTCACATTTCATACATGCACTATGAAGCTGTTCAGGAATTAATATTTTTAGTATTTACTATTTAAATAATTAATGGTTAATTTCAATTGAACGAACAAATTTATCTGAGCCTGAAATATAAACAGTGTTATACGATTTGGCTGTTCATAATAACCGAATTTGATAGACCATTATTAATGTGAGTGATATACTGGGAGGGGCATGATTTTCCTTGTAGTTTTATTCGTCCGTGATTATCGACCTTTAATATGTGCTAGATCAGACGTAGAAATTATTTTACACAGATCTGTTAACTCCGCTTTATTATTTTTAATAGATATTCATGGTATATGATCTTTTGCTGAAATTCAGATAACCGGAAATTCTTAGACTACTATATCGTAAAACTAAGGGATCTTTATTTTTGTCTGAAATATAAGAAAATATATTAACTTTCTGTTTTACATCTTCGCCTAATCTCTTATGTAGATTGTCGAATTTTAAATTCTATTCACTCAGATAAAATAAAGCGTAAAATAATGAGACAGGCAACTTAGTCACAAATTGATTTTCCATCTGGATTAAGGCTACTCTAATATGTTTGATGAAAAGTATTACTGATCGGTTTTTTTAATATCTACTAACAAATATTGTAAGTTTTAATAGTTGAGATCATGAATCAATTGAAGCTGGACCACCATAGAAAACCTGGAAGCACTGGACGGCCGTTTCGTCCTATTATGGGACTCCTCAGCTGTACACACTCACCATTCCGCCTTGCGAGATTCGGATCCAGAACCTATCAGTTTTGCGCGCGAGCGCTTAACCACTAGACCACTGAGCCGGCATCTAACGGTGTTAATGTCCAACTTCAACCCATCCACGAAATTGAGCGACACATTCACTCGACTAGCCTATGGTTCATCTTAATATTTCAATGTAAATGATTTTAAATGAGCTTTAGCTTACGCTAGTTTTTGTTCACTTTACTACAGTTTAGACTTCATTTCTTACTAAAAGTTTATTCACCTATTAACTATATAGGTTGGTTTTTCCCGTAATATTATTCAGTAGGATGTTTACATATTTTTTTCTAAACATTTATTACTTCAAATATAATATAAGTTGCATTCAAATTTTCTTTAAACTTATGATTCATTGACCTTAGTTTAGATTTCATAAACATTCATCTTATGTAAGTTAAACATTCTCGAATTGTTTATCTGAAGTGAACATCGTAAATACTTTACTACTTACTAACAAACTTCATATTCATTTGTGTGAAATAGCTATCAACACTAAAATGTTATATACACCAAGTAGAAAAATATTAATATTCTATATGAAACAAACAATTTTTTCTTTATTTCACTTAATTGATTTCAACAAACTTTATGTTATAATTTATTTACTAACAAACTATTGACATTTGAACAAAGTTCAATAATAAAAAACAAAGTTTTTGTTCAACTTTCAAATAAACAAATATGTACATAAAGGGTGAAATGTCATATAAAGTATATATGTAATATGTACTGTGTATCATGTATGAGTTGAAGTTTATTATAAATAAGACTTTAGAATTATTCACGTACTTTCAACTGCTAAATTTGAAACGGATGAGCTGAAATAGTATTAGAAATTTATAAGCTGTAGAGTGAGTCATTTTCGGCGTAATACAGTGATTAAACTGTACAGATAATCTTGGAAGATTTTCCAATCAACCAGAAAGCAGTATTTAGTTATGGAACTCTTAATGATATACAGTAATAATATAACGGTGTATGAACAGTTTTGACATGAATCATAAGCCCCTTACTGTAAATTTATCATAGTAGATGGAAATATGTTAAAGTTACATATTAGAAGTTTGATTAGTGATACGATTTAAAGTTAGAATGACGAATAAGGGTTAAGATTAAGCTTTAAGAGAGTTACGATTAAGAGTGTTAAGGTGAAGGGTGTTAAGGTTAGTAGTTTTAATTTTGAAGTATAAATAGAGTAGTAGAGTAGTTTTTGTTCATAAAACCACTGATTTTAGCTTGAATAACATAAAGTTATCTCAAATATAATTTTGATCAGGAATGTGTTTTGTTGTAATTTAACTTATTCGCAGTGTCACATCCTCTGTATGACTGCATAAAGGACATTTTTGTCACTTTTAAGCATTTTAGGAACTAGATTTAAACAACTTTGACTTAAATTCATTCAGTATTGTTTGTTTGAATCTTCCCATCGATTTGTTAGGACTGCAACTGGTCAGTCTCTAATTGGCATATGTGCATACTGTGCGTATTGCCTCAATATAGCCTTAATTCACAAGCATGGTAAGCAGAGATGGATAGTGGCTAGCAGTGGAATCCAGGACGCGCGTCTCGTCCTATTTGCACATATGCACATATGCCAATTAGAGACTGACCAGTTGCAATCCTAACAAATCGATGGGAAGATTCAAACAAACAATACTGAATGAATTTAAACTTCACCCCATTGCACAAGCAAGTGGCTATCAGGACTCAGTGGCCGAGTGGATAACGCGATGGCGTTTGAAGCGAGGGTACTGGGTTCGAATCCCAGAGTGAACATCAACTCTGAGACGCAGGTACATCCAGCTGACGAGTCCCAAATAGAACGAAACGCGCGTCCTGGATTCCACTGCTAGCCACTATCCATCTCTGCTTACCAAACTTTTACTTAGTTTTTAACAAGATACTTGGTATCCTTCACTGAGCTCCGAATTTCGAGTAGAGATCCAAGAAGAACTTTCCCAACGCTGACTGGTTCACTGGAAGTCATCCATATAATCACTTTTGCTAGAGTGAATAACCAATAAAACTGGACCAGGTTCTTACCATGTTACAAGCTAGTTAAAGCAAACAATGTAGATGACTGTATTCCAATTCAGTATCTTGAACACAGTATACTCATTTAAAGACCGAAATTACTCCTTTTAGCTCCGAATGAAGTTGTTGTTGCCTAATCCTGATGATTCTCAAACAAGAACCTCATTACCATCTGGTTTTCAGTGTTCCTTCAGTTGATTTCTGTCTGTAATAAAAAAATAATCATTAATATATGGTTTTTTTTAAATTATTTCTGCTTCGTAATTCGGCCCTGTTTCCTCAAATTTTACTAAGTGATTCTGTAATTTCGTACTGAAATACATTTTATCATCTCTACTTGTGTTCTCGTTCACTACAGTGGTAGTAAGAAATATTAGCTATAAACAATATGATTCGAGAAAACCGAATAAATTCTTGGAGTTTCAAGTATAGGATAACTTTAAAACGTAATATCTACGGGACAACAATAGGTGGTTGCATCATTGCTATCGCAACTGATTTCCAGATAATATTACCTAACATTTTCAAATACAATGCACGATAATCTTTCGAAGTACTTACTGGTCATTTAATTTGGAATCTTTTTACAAACATCATCAAATGTATACAATATGCTCTTTTATTCATTCACTTTTAAAATATATCTTTTAAAAAGAGATTAATAAATGGAGATGTTTAATATAAGTAAATATGTGTATTAGAATTTCAGTGTGAAAAGTTAAAGTAAGCTGAAGGAATGTTGGGTTGTCTTTTTTTTCTGACTGAACATTTAACCATCATCCTTCTATTTTGTTTATAATCAAACTGAAATCAGCTTAATTCTTCGTATCTCCATATCAGTATTAGACCAATAAAGCAGTATTCATCAGTGGACATTGGTCTAATATATTAGAAATAACTTTGTGTTTAACGAAGTTCTCCAGTTAGATTTTAAGATTGGTTATAAATATAGATAAACAAAATCTTAAGTATATCAAAGTAAAAATATAATCTCCTTTTTCACAGTGATTCACCAATTAATGTTGGTTAATGGTTTACTGATGTTTGAATGTCATCGATTGTTCAAATGAATAAAGTAAGATGCAAAGATAATTTACACAACACACTAAAGGCAAATCATGATATAAACTATAAAATCTAGCGATCTCCAGAAAACCCTTACGCTAATAATATAAATAACTCGCTCACTAGTGACTGACTTTCATCAGCTCTAAGGAGAATCCGTAACCAGCGTAGTTAAGTCGTTTCGTGTGTGAGGTAACGACTGTAGTAGCAGATGATTGTCCAATATAGTGAAGTTATTGAAGTCGGGAGAATAAACTATTGGATACTAAATAACTGGTTTAAAGACTAAGTTCTCTCTATGAAACACGAATTGTCATGGATCCGATCACTAATGCGGTCGTTGATAAACGAATGTGAAGAGTCGCAAACTAGGATAAAACAACTGTCCAGTACCTCGTGATTAATAAATGATTATCTAGCTAAGATTAGTTCGTAATGTAAGCTATTAAGTTCGGCAATGTACACAAACCTTTTACATTTTTAAACTGAAACCAGTTAGGTAACTATTAAGGACTAGTGATCACCAAATAGTTATTTCGTTTTGATTTCGAACACCTCATCACTGGACATTCACGATGTCATATAGCGTCAAACTTAACGCTTTCAAATCTCATAACTAGAGAACAGTTTCACCACAAAATTGGAGTTAATGTTTCTAACTTTAGCCTGTTTACCCATTAACATGCATCGAAAATATCACGATTTCATTCTTGACAACTTTTCCTTTGTTAATCTTAATGCTTTTCTATTATTTAATATGATGTTTAGCTTAATAGGAATTGTTATTCATATACTTGAGTGATAGTTGAAGGAAATTTGCTTCTAACCAATCGTTTTAATAAACATACTCGTTAATTTTATATAAGTATGCAGTCTAACTGAGACGTTTCGTACAAACTGTTGTCATGATTCAATTCAAAGTTTCACATCCATTGTGTGTCCAGATCAAACCAAACAGTCGAGTAGAAAAAATCTCTACTCAATGACAAACAAACATAAGTTATTTTGAATACAACTAATAATAGAACAGGAAAATCTTTGACTAACTAGTTATTTTCAGCACAAAATGCCAGGCTAAATTCTGACCGGCATTTTATATCTCCTAATACTAATCGATTAAATTGGAAAACGGTGATTAGTCACGATTGAATTTTTCAGTAATTCTTTTATTTGTCTAGATAAAAAGTAAAATATGCATGTAAGATGGCTATTTGTATGCCAACACATGTGTGCCAAACGATTGGCCATTTTCATTCAATTCTTACTAAATGCACAGAATATTTGTATGAACATAAGGCTATATCGAGGTAATACGCACAGTGTGCACATATACCAATAAGAGACTAATCAATTGCAGTCCTAACACATCAATGGGAACATTCAAACAAACAATACCAAGTGAATATAAATTTTATTGGTTTATAAAGTGTGCAAAAAAAATCGATAATTTCCCCCCATAATAGGATAGAACTGACATACTGTCTGATGAGAGAAATTATTTCTAATTCAGAAAGATTTATCAAAACCCTATCGTTTACACTTTTTAACAATACATATATATATGAGCAAGAAAAGTCGTCGTCATCATCAAAATACTGAAAGAACTACCTTTCAAAACTTATTAACCAAAGGTAAATCTCATAAATCCAATACAAATACAATTACAATTCAACATTCAAATAATTCTGATATAAATCAGAAAAACTTCGAACAGAAAAAATTGAAAGTCGTCCCTCGGAAGTTTCATTACATCATGAATAAAAGATTTCTATTCACTTGTTTATTAATATTATTCCTTTATTTATGTATTGTATTAATCAAATCTACAATCATTGAGGATAAATTCAATCATGATGAGAATGAGATTGATGAAAAACGATCCAATTCACTATATATGACATTAAATTCTATTAGAGAGATCAATGATCAAGATATCAGTTATGAATTAAATAATGAATATGATTTACAACAGAAAATATCTTTATTGAAAAATTCAAATCATTTAATGCCAACATTATGTATTGGTGTATTAGTTCGTAATAAAGCTCATACATTACCATATTTCTTAAATGGTATAGAAAATCAACAATATCCAACGAAACGTATTACACTTATCTTTTATGTTGATAATACCATTGATTCAAGTGAGATAATATTAAATAAATGGATTCAATGTAATAAAGATAAATATCATAGAATAATTTTAGAGGTGAATACAACTAAGTCCGAATATGAACATTTGAGTAAAATGTGGACTCTAGATCATTATTTACATGTTATAAGTTTACGTCAGAAATTATTAGATGAAGCACGTAATATCTGGGCTGATTTTTATTTATCTATTGATGCTGATGTGATACTTATGAATCCATTAACTATTGAACATTTAATAAATGTCATGCTTGATTCAACAATATCTAAATCTAATTTAAATCATAAAATGGATGAAAATATAATTATTTTGGCACCATTGATGAATTGTACATCATCTGAACATTATTCTAACTTTTGGGGTGCTATGTCTGAAGAAGGTTACTACCTACGTTCAGAGCATTATTTTGATATACAAAAACGTCGTATACAAGGTGTATATCCTGTAGCAATGGTACATTCAATATTTTTAGTTAATTTACAATTTTATCAATCTGAACAAATTGGTTATTCTCCTGCACCAATAAATTACACAGGACCAATTGACGATATTATCATATTTTCTAGATCAGTACAACGTGCAGAAATTGATTTCTATTTAGATAATACACAGTTTTATGGATATATTCCATCACCAGTTGAAGAACAAGATCTTGGATTATATTCAAAAGATTTAAATAATGCATGGCTTTTACGTGAACAAGATCTATTTGTTCATTTACGTTTACAAGCAATTATTGATCAAGAAGATAAACAAAGAGTTATGCCTTCAGAATGTTTATTAAATATTGCTGAAAATCAATTACCGAAATCAAATAAATTAAATTTTGATGAAATTTATTTTATTAATTTATTGAGACGTCCAGATCGTCGACAAAAAATGGAATATATGCTTCATCAATTAGGTATAAATGCTAAACATTATGCAGCTATTGATGGAAAAGATTTAACTATGAAACATTTTGATGAATTAGAAATTAAACAACTTCCAGGTTATACAGATCCTTATCATAATCGATCATTAAAATTTGGAGAAATTGGTTGCTTTTTAAGTCATTATAATATATGGATGGTATGTTTACTTTTTTAAATAATTTAGTTATTAACTTACAATAACCCATTCATATCATTTTACATGATAAGTGTATTTAAGGTACCAGACTAAGGAATACAGTATAGATTTATATATTTTAAATTATAGCTTTAGTGATTAACTCGTTTCATTTGTTTATTTATTTATGCAAACACATAAACATTGGTACAGGAGCGCATCACACTTCGTCATTTGATTTGTGTGAAAGCTGGAATACTACCCGGGCGCCCAAACCGAAGTAGGTAGTTTTCATAAGTGGCCACCTCACCAGCCTTTGGCCTAGAGGCTTAATCCACAAGGCAGTGGAGCAACATAAGGAGATGAAGTTCCATGGTAGGCGGTGATTAGCAATACGTTCATACGTCATTTGTTCCATCAGGATCCTGGAGCCCATGTGCACCATTGGTTTGGAATCAAGGTTTTCCAACCTCTCTAGGTGGAATTCCTGTATCCACCCACTCGGTTAAAGCTCCGGACGTTGCTTTTTCGTCTTCTCAATTTCATAACCAAAACCCTTGACACGAGAAGGCGGTGAAGAGGGCTTCCCTGACAGTGACTGTATACGCGTGACCCTATGAGAGCATCTCAAGAGGGAGAGCTGACTCTCTCCACCTTTGGCCATACCAAGGGATTCGGTGGCTACTTAAATCGAGTCTGTTGTGAGGCAGTTACTCACTGAAGACAATAGTGGACAGCCGCACAATATCATGGATTGATTGAAGTCAAACAACAACACCCTTTGGTCACCGACTCAGTGGTCTGGAGGTTAAGCGTTCGGACACGAGACTGAAGGTCCTGAGTTCAAGTAGGTCATGCAGGATCATGGATGCCCACTGTTGAGGAGTTACATACTAGGACGAAACAGCCTCCCAATGTTTCTAGGTCTAACATTGATCCAATGATGATATCAATCTGAATCATGAATATGGAATTTTTTACAACTGTACAAATTTTTAATTTTAATTAGTTTCTTTATATATGAGTACATAATTAGTTAAAAAACGTGAAATTGTGTATTCATTTGACCAAAAATTCAACTAAACAGAACATAAATAAACATTAAGTAAACAGATATAATTCTGTCAAAATTCATATTTTATTTTGATTTATCATTAATAGAATGTCAATAATCAAATGTGATAATCTGAAATTTATTCCATCTAATCTTATGGTTAACATTTTAATATATCTATTTGTAAGTGAATTCAGTCACTGATCTTTAGTACTGTTATAGGTATGAGGGCTTCCTGGTTGCCCACACTGTGGAAGGGTTCTTCTAAAGATACCTGAAAAGGAAATTGGATTAGAGGTGGTCTTAGTGATCTGAGAGCGTCACCGCAGTGCCCAAGAGACAACTGCTTGGGGTCGGTCACACACGGCCTTTTTGTGGGGGATATTTGACGTGTTAGCTCCGTACTTGTTGAGGCCTTACTGTCGGAGACGGATATCCGTGGGATAGGGCGAGGTGTGCATTTTTAGGGTCGACCTTTTCTAACCCCACCCCTCCTTGTGGGAAGTAGCATCGCTGTTGTGCTGGTTGTCTGAAGGAAACACCTTACTGCTTTCACACCTCTGTACAGTCAGCAGTACGACTTCGCCTTCGGACCTTGGGATAGCTGCTTTTAGTCTCACCGCTCTTCAACCGACCTGCCTGGCATGGTAGGACCATGAGGAACGATTGTTCCAGCCAGCATAGCTCGATTGGTTCATCACGATAGGCAAGCCGGACCACCACGTCAAGGTAGCAGTAACGGTCGGGTGTAAGTGAATTACTTGTAAAATGCTAATTATCAGCATTTATCTGTAGTTTTCTTCTTTAGAACTTTCACTTTTTAATTTATCATTTATTAAAATTTTAAATATACATTATATTATCATTTATTATAGTTTAATTAAGAATCTTTCATTTTCATTCTGATCAACATTATCATATGGTATTGAACTGACGACCTAATTATTCAGTCATGTATTTAATATCACTAACAGAATCTGTTGGAACTAATAAAGTTTCTTTATTAGTTCGAAACATGGAATTTCATAAAGTTATTCGTAAACTATTTGTATCTTTTGATGTTTAAAATCAATTTATATCCAGTGCTTCCAGGTTTTCCATGGTGGTCTAGTTTCAATTGACTCATGATCTCAACTATATTTGAATTGTTTTCCTTTTTATTATTTATTTCTAGGAAATGATTAACAATGGTTATAATCGTATATTAATTCTTGAAGATGATCTACGTTTTGCTCCTGCTTTTGTTCGTAATTTAAATAAAGTTATTAAAGAAGCAGATGATAATGTTGCTAATTGGGATCTACTTTATATTGGTCGTAAAAGAATGTCAAAATCTGAGAAACGTGTACCAAATACAACTAGTTTAACATATCCTGATTATACTTATTGGACACTTGGTTATATTTTAAGTAGAAATGGTGCCGAGAAATTAATTAAACAAAAACCTTTAAAAAAATTAATTGCTATTGATGAATATCTTCCAGTTATGTTTAATAAACATCCTAGAAAAGACTGGTTAGTTCAATTTGAACCACGTGATTTAATTGCTTTATCCGCTGAACCATTATTAGTTGAACCACAAAGGTATACAGGTGAAAAACGTTATATATCTGATACAGAAGATTCAGAAATTTTCTATACTACTTAAATAATATATATAGAATGCTTCTTGTTAAATTACGCAATAATAAAATTATATTGTATATTTTCCTTAGAATTTGTACATTCCTTAGTAGGATTTATTTCATTTTATTTAAAACAAAACAAAACATTGGCTATTGAAAATGGGAAGAAAACAAAAGACAAATGGATATACGTTTAAAAAATAATTGTATCTTGTTTAGTTACTATAATATTTGAGTAAAATTTATGGTATAAAAAAGAAAATATTGACTTTTTTCATTTGGAGGGTAATTATTTACAGGGGGTTATAAAAATTAAAATTCTATTAATATAAAATATACTTTTAAGAAGGTAGAAACAAAGAATTGAGATGAATGACATTCATTCATTTTATTTCATTAGCTTCATATAAGCTGATTACAGGTTTTAACAGTGAAATTAGTTAAGTATGATTATTCATCATCTTGGTGGAGTGGTGATTTGTGCTATGACTTTATAAAAGAAGGCGGTTGCCAGCTCGTTATGATTTTATATCCAGCTTTTTATCACGTGAATTATACACCAATCGGAATACAATTTTTCTAATCTTAATACTGTGCCAATCAATGATATTCAACTGGTATGAGCAGTCTAGCGTCCTTAATGGTCCCTTGTCCGCTTAGCCCTTCCTATTGAGTCCAAAAACACCAAATTCAGCTTCTGCTATGCGAATCGTTTATTTCAAGCATACTCAGTTTATATACCAGACAGACAGACTGCATCAAACCATAAAATAGAAAATAATATTTGTACAAGTTCAAGCCAAATGTGGCTGTGAATGTGGGATATAATAATCAATAAACTGAATATAATTTAGGGACAGTACTTCGTATAATAATAATCCGTAGGTCAAAATGAAGCTTATAATAAGATGAATATATATAGATTAAATCTAGTCACTGAATAGTTGTACAATAAGAATATATATAGAATAATCGTCCATTAATAGGTCCCGGAAGTTATCCGTACTTACTTCTTCACTAGGATATAACAATTTGAATAATTGTAGTGAGATTGAAGAAATACTTTTTCAGTAAGTAAACTATTATATTTAGAAGTATAGGGTTGTGGAGATTATTGAACCGATCAGTGTTAGACAGCAATTCAAAAGCTGAAAACACCATTTTGTCCTAACATAGGACTCCTTAGAAGTACCAATCTACGATCCCGATCGTGAGACTCGAACTCAGGATCTTCGGTCTCGCTCCTGGATTCTTAACCTCAAGATCACTGAGTCGGCATCCAACGGCGTTATTGTTTAACTTAAACTAAACCGCGACCATCCTCAGTTGTTTTTGGTGTGTAACTACCTCACAACCGATGGGGTTGAACTCCATTGGTCACAGGTTTTCAATAGAACTAGAATTCCCTCTCGAAGTCAGCCGCTAGTGGGTGCATGATAATTACTAGTATAGAGTCTATTTTATTAGGACTGAGAATATTACTGGATTGTGACTAGCAGTGGAACAAAAATGAGCATTTCGTCTTATTTAGGACTAGAAAGTTGAATGGAATTAAATCCAAGTTTTGACGTTCACACCAAGCATCTGACTCAGTAACTTTCACTTTCAACACAGAAAGCGTTGTCCATTGTATTACTGAAGCCAATTAGTGCATAAATTGTTCACCCAGGTTCGAGATAATTTTAAAAGTTAATAATTTTTGATAGTCAATAGTTCATTTGACCGCTCTCCTTTGAGATATATAGATTCTGAAGGAATAACTATAATCTAAATGTTTTCATTAAAAGAAAAGTTTATTTGGTGAATGTTAACGTTGATCTGATACGAATTACATAATCACAAACTATATTTATTTTCACAGTTGAAATCATGAGTCAATTGAAGCTAGACCACCATCGAAAACCTGGAAGCACTGGACGGCCGTTTCGTCCTATTATGGGACTCCTCAGCAGTGCGCATCCACGAACCCGCTCTCGCGAGCGACATTCGAACCCAGGACCTACCAGTCTCGAGCCGAAGCCCTTAACCGATAGACCACTGAGCTGGCATCCAACGGTGTTAATGTCTAACTTCAACCAATCCACGATATTGAGCGACCGTTCACCAATGGTTTTCCATGGTGGTCTAGCTTCAATTGACTCATGATTTCAACTGTGAAAATACTAAATTCTCCACAAAACCCCCTCTGATCTATATTTATTTTATCAAGAACAATCTCAATAAACATACCGAAATAGAAAGTTTAACAATAACCAAGATTAATCAATATGCATTATTGCAATATGTCTATGTCCACTCAGTAATCTATTCATGATTATACAGATAATGAATAGTAGACGACATATATTATTAAAACAATTAATAAGAATTGAATATTGTTAACTATATAAATCAGTTAATGTGAACTTTAATTTTTATCAATATGATGTCATATGGTTTCGCTATTATAGTTATGAGTTCGCGCAAAAAAATATTTTGAATCATTATTAGTTTAAAAAACAATCATGTTTCAAATAAATTTCTATAATTTTATAATTGAAATCATGAGTCAATTGGAGCTAGACCACCACTGAAAACCTGGATGGCCATTTCGTCCTATTGTGGAACTCCTCAACAGTGCGCATCCACGATCCCGCCTCATGAGATTCAAACCCAGGACTTATCAGTCTCGCGCGTGAGCGCCTAACATGTAGACTACTGAGCTGGCGAGCATCCAACGGTGTTGATGTCTAACTTCAACCAATCCACGAAGTTGAGGAGTACCACAATAAGATGGAACGGCCATCTAGTGCTTCTAGGTTTTCCATGGTGGTCTAGCTTCAATTGACCCATGACTTCAACTACAAAATTACTAAAATCTCCACAAAAGCTCCTTCTCAAAATGTCTATAAATTTGACAAGTGAAAAATTTCATCTGTCTAATTAATTCCTAGAATAATCGACAATTTTAAGAAGCTTTCACTTTATAGAAAAAGTATCTGAACAAGGAGACTATTTATGCTCAATTTTTCTAATTTACATTTCTTAGGCAATATAGTTTATTCGTTTAGTTTTCATCGTCTTTCTAAGAAGCATCATCAGCATTAACTTCTGAATGAAGTGAGCTATTAGAATTTTTGATAAGCGATAAACACTTTTGTAAGAGTTCGAATAGTTCATTTTGTTCTGAGGTTCATGAGGAAGATGATGCATCGAAAGACAATAAAGGCTGCACGAATAAAATATATGGCTTATAGAATTTTGGGACAAAATTGTTTAGTAACGTTTTGGTAAACTTAAAATATACTGCCAAATTAACTACGATCTGTGAAACATTATCAAAATCAAAGTCTAAGTATTCAATCGACATGTTGAATATCAACTGTCTTATATGTAATTCTAATAATTAAAACATCATTTAGTATTTAAAGGTCTTCAGACTGCTGAAAGATCACCCACTTATGAATAGATGACTGAAACAATTGTGAATAAGTTTGAAGAAATAAGAGGTAGTGGGATATCTATGCATATCGATTTTTGGGTTATGATTGAGGATATGATTCAAGTTAGGATTATATAAGAGTTAGGGTATAGAATTCAGATTCAGGCTTGCGGTTAGGCTCAGAATTACCGATAGAAACAGGGTGTTTGGTTAAGGTTTGGGATTAGAATTAATATTAGGCTTTACGGTATGGATTATGTATATAAACAAACCTTAATTCAGAAGTCTAAATTTTGATCCTCACTTCTGACTTTAACGCATAGAAACTTATGATCAAGTCAGAATTGTTCATCAATAATTAGTCAAGATTCTCTTCGTAAACTCTTTCATTTTTCGACATAAAATAGCTATGCACTTTCGCTATTTTCTGATTAGCTAAAACGGGTCAAGATTTCAAGGTTTTTCAGTAGTATACTTTAAATGTATCGTTATGCTCTGCCTCGTTTAAAAATATTAATAATTTTCAGTAGTAATAATATCTTCTTGGATTTAATGCTGGCCATAAAAATTATGGAACTTCATCAGTAGGAGTCTTTTTTTTAATTCTAAGGTATTTTTAGAACTAAGAAATCAATGTTTTCACAATTTCTCTGATTAAACACATTTTCAAAGAGTTTTGCTACTTGTTAAATAAACACTTGGAATCACATAAAATTAGATCACGATTATGTATTAAGATGTCCAACTAATCACTAATGATTGGTCAAGGAGTGCAGACAGTTATAATTCATATATCATATATTTCTATTGTATATTATACTTTTGGTCTTTCTACTTTGGGATTAAACAATATTTGTTCTGTTCGTTAACTGGGATTATTGAGTGCGAGTCTTTCCATTGATTAAATCGACGCCAACATTATAACATCTAAATGAACTAATAATATAGTAAGTTTCTCTATTATACTACTATGTTTCCAATTGTTCTATGTTCACTAAGTCAAAGGTCAATTAATTTGTCACTTTCATTCATATATTCAGTGCTTAGCTATAATCAATATATTTTTCTCGATGTTCGGTCTGTAGGTGTAAATACTTATGAATTTCCAGAAAGGAGTTCCTATTGAGTATGGAATCGAAAAGTCATATTAAATACCATCAATTAATATTATCCTGGGCAGCATCATCAATGAACACGGTGGATCAGATGTAGATGTGAGGGCGAGGATCGGCAAAGCAAGAGCAGCCATTTACAAATGAAAAACATCTGGAACTCAAAACAACTGTCATTCAACCAACACCAAGATCAGAATTTTCAATACAAATGTCAAGGCAGTTCTACTGTATGGGGCCGAGACGTGGAGAACTACGAAAGCCATCATCCAGAAGATACAACTGTTTATTAACAGTTGTCTACGCAAGATATTTCGGATCCGATGGCCAGACACTATCAGCAACAAGTAACTGTGGGAGACAACAAACCAGATTCCATCCAGAGGAGGAAGAAATCAAGAAGAAGCTCTGGAAGTGGATAAAACACACATTGAGGAAGGTACTCAACTTCGTCACAAGACAAGTCCTCACATGTAATCCTGAAGGCCAAAGGATGGGAGGAAGACCAAAGAACACATTACATCGAGAAATGGAGACAGACATGAGAAGAATGAACAAAAGTTGGATAGAATTAGAAAAGAAAGCCCAGGACATAGTGGGTTGGAGAATGATGGTCGGCAGCCTATGCTCCATTGGTAGTAACAGGCGTAACTAAGCAAGTAAGTAAGTAATATTATCAGTACTAGTTACATTTATTACTCTGAACCCTATATTCATA